CGTGTGGGCTGGAAACCACATTATTGGGCCCTTATTTATGAGTGAACATTTGGCTAGAACCAATCATCGATCCATTAAATGTAGAAATTGTTGAAAATCATCCAGAGGAATTTGACAGTGAGATTGTTTTTTAACAAGACGGTATCGGCACTCCCTTGCATTACGCTAATGTGACAATTTCTAATATAATAACCGATATAACACCACATGGATAGCCCACCACGATCCTTCTGAATGGCCTGCTCGTTCACCGGATTTAACACCAATGAATATTTTCATTGGGGTTACATAAATTCCAAAGTGTATGCGACACAACGCCACACACTGGACGATTTATATCAAAGAGTAGATGTTTGTGCTAATATTGATGCGGAAACGTTAACTCGGGCACGAAAACAGCCACACTATAGTTTTACTTGTGTCAAGAGGTTCAAGGGGGTCATATCGAACATTTATTAAGATAAAACACATACATTTTTTTCTGTTTTCAATAAATATTTGTTACTTCGTTTTTTGAATCGATACATTTTCTGTAAACTTTTATACTTACTTGCACATTAGTATTGTTGATATTATGTTTGAAATAAATTATCATATAGGATAGAAAATAAGTACATTTGGTCTGGCCAATAATTGTTTTAGTAATTAAAGTAACTTTAGAAACAGATTTTAACAAATATTCATCGTATAGTATATATAATTATTGATGTATTTAGAGTTATTCTGGCCGGATTTTTCTAAATTAACTTAAAACGCAGCTTCAGTGTTAACAAATATTAACTCAGACACATTGTTGTCCCCACAACAACGAAAAATACCGACTTTCTCAAAATCTATACTATCATTTTCGTGTCTAGACCGAGAAAGTGACAGCTGCTACTGAAATTGCAGTGTGCTGATATTTTTCGGTGTTGCGGGATAATTATAATAATATAACTAAATTTTTATTTAGTGTTAATGCATTTAGTGTAATTCCAATAATTTAATAAGTAGTTTAGGAATATTTCAAAATTGAAATCTGAAATGAGCTTTTATTTTTAAGGTTGCTTTAAATTAAACGATACTTCACATTTGTTACACTTACTAGGTGCAAAATTAGACGAAAAGAGTTCATAAAAGAACATTTTGTAAATTATGCGTTTTAAAACTCGGTGATACTAATCGTTACACTTTAACCACTATTTGCAATTTTTGTTATGCCCAGTGTGTCTAATCTGTCAAGCAAAGAAATTCTATTTTTGACATCCGTGACCAACAAAAATTCGTCACAAAAGGTTCTGTTTTACAAATTATCTTAATGTGGTCAAATCTATTAACTAGGATTTCTGCAAGTACCTATATGTAGGTACAGGATTAATTACCAAATAACATGCTGTATTATTCCTCCTCTTAAAAATGACACAATTTTTGCGAATTAAATCAAATTTGAAATAATAAAGCGATGCAGCTATGTTACTGATAAGGGATGGTCTGCTAAATATTTGTATACATTAATCGTGAAATTTTCGCCAAATTTATAGTGTTATCTTTCCAACTATTCCAACTGCTTGTTTACTAAACCTCGAATTATTGTTGTGTCGTCTAGTATGAGACGAAAGACACATCAAATCACTGCTCTGGAACAGAATTGTTTCGAAGATAAGTTTAATATAGTTTGTACAACCCATTAGTCCACTAGATTGTCGGTAACGTATTGATTTTGGAAGTTTGTGTTAATGTAACCTCCATCAATTGCTCCTTTTCTTTTTCTAGTGGTAATCTAGTGGGCATTTTCAGTGGTTTTTTGTTGATAGCAGCACTGTGGTCTCGCGTACCAGCTGTTTTTTGATCCAGCGTTTAAAATTACCCTTTAATTATTATTGGAGGGAAGTTCACGTTTTAAAGATCTACCAACTTATTACAGTACTTTGAATATCAAGCTATGTTTTATCTATAAAACATAAGTCGCTACTTATTTCAAAATGTTATATTGCGTCTATACATATAAACATAAGGCTCTGTATATTTTCTAATTTTATAATTACAACTCTGAGGATTGAGATTGAGCGTTCTTTTTTCTTTCAGCTGCAGCAGTTAATGTTCTTTTAGTTAGATTTTTGGACGACAAAATCCACAAACATCGAATTACACTGCGAACATGGACAGATGGCCATGATTGCCTTTCTATAGTCAATGATGCAGATATGTTCTGCAACATTTGTTATGTAACATTAAAATCTCCATAAAAAGAAGAATAATATACGTTTTATTACGCTAATATTCCTTTATCAAAAATGAATTATTTAAGATTTAAACAATTTCTTGAAAAACGCATTAAGAGACACAACTGATGAATCTTCTGCTGAAAAATTGCGTACTCAAATGTTACTCAAAAACAACGAACCCAATACAAAGGAATTTGGCAAATCAATATTTATGGGTATGTTTTGACGAGGCGGCAAACATTTTGGGAGATTATATTGTCAATATGCTAGCTCAAGTATATTACAGATCAACAAAACGGAATAATAGAAATTGGTCGAAGGTTATTTTGGCAGACTTTCCTCGCCCCCGAAGTACTATATAAAACAAATCCAGCTTTTTCGAAAAATTATAAAATGTATTATGCGAATTTTATTTTTTTATGAGAACCCTTATAAGTTAAAATAAAGATATGTACCTATATAGAACGTTAATATAAATGTAAAGAAGCGTTTCAAATGAGTTTTCCTTAAAAAATTTTGTGATGACCTCAACAATATTTTTGCAACGACACTTAGGTATATCACTTGAGATGGGTACAGTGTAGTCCTAATGATAACAGTATTGTATTTCCAAATTTTCGGAAAAATTAAATGAGCCGTTCTTGATTTAATTAATAAAATACTTAAGAGTTTCGCTCATTTTGACTTATTCCTAATTTGTCAACCCTGCTCCTGAAGATGCCACTTACAAAGTGTGCGAAACGTTGAGCTCAAAAACTCAATTAACACGGTCCCAACCCGGAAAACGACCATATATAATAAATTCTGGCCTTTTAAAGAAATGAAAAATTTGTATGCATTCACCAGTAAAATGATCCAAGAACTCAAAGCTACAACCAGTACCCCTATTAGCAGATGTTAGCCCATAAATCCTGAATTCACATCGCAGGGTAAGCAGCTATTATGAACTGCGGTTTAGAGTGAATTTATTAGAAGTTGTAAATTATATGAAAAAGCTCTTATAATTCGAGGTAAATGTCTTCATAATTATGATTAATTAATGAACTCTAGTTCCTAATACGAAAAAAAGGTGAAGAAAAAGTGCATTACTCAAACAAAATGCTAGTACGTAGACGTAGGTACGTCCCATTTAAAGAATTAAAGATTGGATATTGTTTGTGATATTAATCATGACAATTTCGAATTTATATGTTTAAAAAAGTAATTATTTTCTCTCTGGCCGGAAGTGATGGGAGAATCTGTATTTCTCCGGTTTGTCTGCTCCAAAAGTTTTTCAACTGTAAGCCTCTGATTTACCCCGTCGGCTCTATTTACCTGTATATGCTTTTGCTTTAAGAAAAAGATTTCAACTCGGTTAATGCGAACGCAAACAAAATTAAATCTCTATATACAAAAAATAAAAATACGTGAGAATGTACATAAGTTTTACAGTGCGTCTACTAGAGCGCTACAAATGAAAATAAAAAACTTTAGATTTCATGAAATATGGTAATGTTAAATCGATGAGAAATGAATAGACAAGAAAAAAAAAATGACTGAACGGATTTATCCGTAACGAGAAAATCCGGCATTGTTGTATCTAGAATGCAGATGTCCTTAGTTGTGGGTAATCAATTTACGAAAAAGTGATAAATGGTTTGGCATTTATTAATGTCATATAAACAACAAATTTAAAAAAACAAAATTTACCGTAAGTTTTCTAGGAGGAGTAAATCAATTTTTATTGAGCGTCGTTATTTAATAAATTAATCTTTCTTAAAATTTTATAACAACGTATAGTATGAGGAAAATATTGAATTATTGTAATTTATGATACAAGAAAAGTCCATACGATATCCATAAATAAAAAAACTATTTGTAGAAATTAATATTAATAAACGTCATTTTTAATTTCTAAAATTCTTGTCTGACGACTAGTTTACCTTATTTTAACCTGAACATGAATAATAAGCATGCTTCTGGTGGCAAAATAACTACGTATTTCTTTTCTGCATTTTAAACTTGTCATTACCATCAGTTCTTTAACAAATGCACGCAATCTTGTGACTTTTAAAAAACGGCAATTGATTAGTTACCATTCAAAAGGTGTGCCTTCACGCCACAAGCAATTTAACTTTGTAATAATTCTAAACTTCGTCATAAAAATCAGTATTTCCAAAAAGTCTCCTACTCACAAATTAAATTTGCTACTTGTTGACTCGAGGCACTCAAACTGCAACAGAATTTTAAAACTTATCTAAATTGAATAAGTTACTTTTTCAGTTTACTGAGTTTTCAGTTTTTCAGCTCGATCTCATCGTTCTGTATTTTAACTACAATGCGGCTCTTCACCTTTTTAACTGTTAAAAAAACCCGAAATTGGGTGCCATTAGAGCGGAAAATGCAAATACGAGCTCAACAATTGCATCACATAAAAACGATCAAACTAAACAAACTATTAGCGGCGTTAATGATACGGTGCTAACTGTAATCGTTACAAATTGATAAAGGCCGGCATTAGCAGCTAAACATGGTGATTTGTCCGTTCAGTTGGCATTACTGTATATCCGTCGGCCAATGAAACGCCGAGTTACACAGCGAATCCTATAAATCAGCAGACAATTGAAACCGATTCAATTCGACAACAACAAATTATAAATGGTGTAGACCGTAATCATTGATCGTCCGGTTTATCCAATTCCGTGTCATAACTTCACGAACAGAAGCAAATAAATCCGGGGTAATTTCATTGTATGTGTTTCATTGAAATTTACATATGAGCATCGTATTGATTTTGATCTTTTTGGTTGATTGCAGGTGGCGCTGGAAGCAGTGGAGAAGGAGCGGATTCGGAGAGTGCCGCCTCGAAGAGGAGGAGGAGTAGGACGAATTTTAATAGTTGGCAATTAGAAGAATTAGAAAGAGCCTTTTTAGCAAGCCATTATCCTGACGTTTTTATGAGGGAAGCGCTTGCGATGAGATTAGACTTAAAGGAAAGCAGGGTGGCTGTAAGTGTTTTTTTTTTATATATTAAACAGAATTAAAATGTAAAACATTCGAGGGCATATATTTTACTTAGGTATGTGGTAATAGCTTTCCTACAGTGCGATATTGGCAGCGATAAAAGTTCAGTTTAATGACACGTTGAAAGGTTATGTAAAATAACAATCATAACAATAAAGGTTACGAGCCAAATTTACGTATTTTTAAAACTTATAATGCTTTTCTTATACAGGGTGATTTCTAAATATATGCAATAATTGTAACTATGGCCCCATGCACCACCCTCGATGCGATGCCACTGATCTACCTTTTAAACAGTGGGTGGAAGAACGTTCCAATAAAAATGATGCAAACACGATGTAAAAGCGACTTTTTGCTGATTATTCGTTCATTCATGTATTCATTCGTCGTTAAAGATCAATGTGAAAAATTATTAGTTGTTATAGAAACAAATGGTGGTCCTGAGAAGGACCAATTTTTGGTAATGCTTCATTGTGAATTTCTATTCTGACGGATGTTTGGTCCTTGCCACAACGATTCCACATTGTTTATGAGAACAAAAATAAAATCAATTTACAATGCTACTACCTTTTTACAATAAATCTTGAAGATGTTGTCCTTAACTAGCAATACAGGCTTCAGCACGTCGCAACATGTTTGCACGGATACAAAAAAAAAATCCGGGAATTTCACGAACTGTAGCTGCTGCCACTTCCCCTCGTTGTGGAAGCTCTTCGATAGTTTCTGGACACTGTTAATCTCTATAAATTAACTGTTCCATCCAACACCACAGACAAAAATCACATGGATTGAGATCGCGTGAACGAGGAGGCCAAGTACTGGGCTGTTTCTACCAATCCACTAGTTGGAGGTTGGAGGTTGGATTGGTAATTATTTAACCATTCAGTTAGTGGCCTAGCACAATGTGGTGGTGCTTCATCGTGCAATTACGACATGCGAACTCTTTCACCTCGAGACACTTCCACCTCTAGCTACACATGGTTTAAAAACTCGAAATACTGTGCCACGTTTAGTCTGTTTGGTAAACCATAAGGTCCAACTAAGCGGTCTTTAACGTTACGGGCCCACACATTTATAGAAAACCGTCGTTGAAATCGTACTTCTTGCCGAACTGTTCACGACATTGCTGTAGCAACCATTCGCAGTAAATTACACGACGTGGAAAATCAACACACTCCAAAGCTTGCAATTTTTGAACGTGGTATGGATGTAGACCTTGTTCTTTTAATGTAGGATGCACTAGAAACTGCAAAACTCCAACTTCAGTTGCAAGTCAGCGAGTGCTGATGTCGGGTTCTTCTTCCACGCCTTCCAAAATTTGTTCTTCAGTTTGCAGTATTCTTTGGGTCCTATCACGGCCACGATCGTAAGTTTGAGGATTGAAGGTATCATGATCATTATTGTAGATCAAGGAACACTACCAGTGGTCTGTTCAACTATTTATATTTAATTTCAAATAATTTTTCTATTTCTTAGGAACATGAACTTTAAACAGTTCAATAAATCTTATTGTGGGCTATTCCCCATCTTTTTTAATGCACACATTTCGAAATCACCTTGTATAACAAAATAACTAATACTAACTTATATACTGATGCGATGGACATGTGACTTCAAAAAAAAGTTTAATTAAATAATACTTCAAAAATCGATTTTTTATATCAGATATACATATATTGATAGAAAGTTATAAACTATGTTTTTCTTTCCAAACCTACATAAATAAAGTTAAAAATAGAAATGGATTATCAAATCCTGCAAAATTTTGAGACGACGTCATCAAAATGTGGATGAGGATGATCAAACAATTTTTTGATATAAGTGTAAAAATATACTTACCTAAAATTTAAAAAATCAGAAACCTATTTGTTCATATTCTAACAACTACGAAACGTCGAGAAAACATAAAATCTGACTTATGCGCACTACACTAATTTGACTAAGATTAGAATTCAGAGTAGCTGTAACTAGAGTAGTATACCTACCATTTGACTAGCCTTGAAATAAGGTTTAAATACCAAAAACTCTAGTAATATTGTGGTGTTTTTACGGTAAACCAGTGTAGATGACACGGGGTTCAGTTTAGTGTGGTCTTTTGTTCAACTAATTATAAATTATTAATTTCGTTGCTTAGTAACTTGTCATACTATGCATTAGAAGTCGCAACAATTGTCTGCATAGAGCCGATTGGATTTTTTTTTACAATCTAATATAATTTTGTATAAAACTATTGCTGAGGGTATAACGAATAACATTAAAAATACCGTGAAATCAGATGGTAATGTTAAAAGGTTAAAAAAATTCCTGACCCTAATTTGTGGTATCTGCCAATAGTAAAAAATAACGTTGTCGGTGGTATCCTAATTATCTAACTGTATATTAGACATCCAGTCCATTAAAACAAATCATCAAAATTACCAAGTTAATTCTTCAACTTTGAAGTTTCATATTTCAAAAGTTTGGTGCAGGGAATTTTTTAACCATTTTTTGGGAGTTCTTCAGAGCTTTCTTAACAACGTAATATCCAGCTCATCCATAATTTTTTGTTCACCCTGTATAGTTTTCTAAAAAATATGCAAACAATCTAAAGACACAAGCTCATTCACTTTGATAATCTGACATTTATAAGTTTTCCACTTGTGATATAAGGACTGTAGATGAATTAATATTGCACTCTGATTAATGATTATAATTATTAATTACGAATGGTGAAGTCTGTAACGCCCGATTTTTAAACACTTGTAACCCAATGGCTCCAGACGGGATACTTTCGGGGGCCGGTCATAGCTGCTATCCCCAGTGAAAACGAAGAGGTTCTATCCAACACAGGAGAAGACCCAAATCAAAAGTGAACGCCACGTATTTGACAGACTCTAAAATTTCAACACCCTCCTCAAAGAACGACTCAATTCCGAAAGCAGATGATAGCGACAGTCGTTCAGGTTAAAAGTAACAACTAGCTCCCGAATCAAACATGCAAATTATGGGTATCATCGACGTCGATTACAAATAAACCAGAAAAGTTCGTCACCAAAACGTAAAATAAATTCGAGATGTTATTAATATAAAGAAATTTACCGTTTACACTTGAGAAAGACCACCAATATTGGGTATTAAACCAGAGAACAAAGAAAATCAAAATTAAGTAGAACAATATCCTTCGTACTAGATGCGCTTTTTATCTCCCTTGCCCAAATCAATCAGTGCCTAATTTCAGTCTAAGATATAAAAAAAGAAAGCAACGTTATCGCTTCATACATACGTAAGTCTTTACATAAAATTGTGGATTTGACAAAAATTTGTGTAACCCAGATCTTTTAAAGCACACTGCTGTTAGATTTAAGCTCTCCTTACCTTCATTTGTTTAGTATTTTTTCGATACCTCTGTTCATCCACAAGACTGATTGGACTGATTTGATTCACAAGCATTATAGTGTTTTGTTTCTGGCTAGAAAAAATTTAGTAGTGAACAAACTTGTGGAAAACAGCAGGGTTGCCGCCACAGGTGGTAAACAAGGTTGTGGTTTGACATTACAAGGACTACCTACTTGACTGAAAGTGGCGTTTTTACCATTAGTTACGAAATAGTAGGACGGTGTCTAAACGGGATCAAGACACCATGCAAAAGGACAAAATTCAAGAAGCTATTTATATGTAGCCCTTATGATACTTCAAAATGAGTTATAGCTTTGTATAAAATTAATAGCAAAGTATGAGTTATTGAAACGTCAACTTAGATTAGTAAATAAGCGCAACAAATCTTGCTTGTAAATAAAACTCTTTAATTCTGCCTCAAGATTCTTTATGCAAGTGACGACGTGCTGCAATTACAGTATATCAATCTTTGTGTCAAGTATTACATATTACAAAACATCAATTATCAAAGACGATGTGACAACAAAAATTTCGTGGCAAACCATACAGCATAATAAACTGTAACACATGCATAGGTACAATAAATCTTTGTAAAATATGTCTACAAAAAAAACCTTGTAATTAAAAGCATATTCGTAGTATCATCACTAAAACAACGTCAGATTTATTTCAGAACTCAGGGTCATGCGAAAAAAACGTTTAACCGGTTCAAGCGTTCAGGATCCTTATATCGTTTAATTTGGAGATAAATTTTTAACTATAGCAAACAAAGCATGCTCAAAGTGATAAAAGAAGTCGCTGTAGATTTAGAGACAACATTAAACACGCATCATGTTTTTGTAAGAACATTTTAGTTGCGAATAAGTTATTAGATTTGGTGGAGCCATTGATTAAATACATATAGATAGACCCATGCTATTGTTTGGAGCGAACAGGCCAACGGCCGGCGAACAAGAGATGGCGCACCAACAGTCGGCCGTCAAACGCCGGCGAAAAGCTTGGACACCAATCGCGCGCGTAGATAACTCAAATCACAGCAACAATACATTTAATAAAGCTACCACTCGATAGAGGGCGACGAAAAAATGTGTAAAAATCTCATAGTTATCATTTAAATAATTTGCAACGTTGCCAGATGAGCCTAACACAAATTTGCCGTTATTTCTAGCCAAGTAGGATTTATTTCGTTTAAAAGTTTCTGATAAAGAAATGGGATTATTATAATGAATAAAAATAAATAAAACAAACAAATTATTAAGTACTTGTTATTTTAAATACTTGTTAGTGCTAACATTATTATAAATACGGTCCGGTAACTCAAATTTTATAGAAAGAGTGAGATGTTTCAGGACGAGGCGACCGTAGGGAGCCGAGTTTTTAATTTAGAAACGAGTTCTGCGAAAAGAGTTATCGGAGGTATGTCGTTATGGATTTTATTTCATACTCTCAACATATTTTTTTTGTTAGATAAAATAATTACTATTTTGGAAAAAGTTCAAATCAAGTCACTTTTTCTGACATCGTTAGCAACCGCTGTTTGGCTAATGTTTTAATTTGTTTATTCGTGCAAATCAGCATCAAATGTTTAAACTAAAATTTATTAGTCTAG